CACAAAATGCCCTATTGAAAACGATGGACAAGACTGCGAAGGAAACTTATAATTTGGGTTGGATGGTAGATCATTTCTAACGACAAAATGTCCTATTGAGAAAACAATGGACCAGATTGCGACGTAAACTTGCAATTTGGGTTGAATGGTAGAATTTGTTTATTATATGAGACTTCAGTCAACCATAAACCTTCTAGGGATAACGTATTGCTAGGGTTAGAACTTAAAAATCTAGAGAAATAGGAGTAACGTGAGCTAAGGATCAGAGAAAAAAACTGTGTGAAAGGGATTGAATTTGAATATGTACCGTCAAATACGAACCAAAACAGCCAACACGTTTCATGCTTTTCTTTTCTATGAACACGGTATTAGATCTGCCTATGGGTCGGTCGGTTGTCCTAATTCTCCCCTCTCGTATCATAATCTGTAAAGGAAGCTTCAACATGTACAGTGGTGTCAAGCAACACATTCTGTTTTCGGAGAAACCAGATCAGAGAGATTGAGAGGACCTGGCAAATTCTTATGGAGGATCGCCTACATTGTTATGGAACGTCAACAAGTAAAACTTCAGTGGGGTGTAGCAATCTTTACCCTTACCATCTTTCCATGTTAATTGTCAAAAAAGACATTAGTCAAGGGGGCAGGTCGCTTTGTGATAGATAAAATCTGTTGATAAATATATCCCATGTCCCTTCAGTAGCCTTTTGCTGTTTTAAATTGGTTTACATGTTCTACTTTTGTCAGTATTTGGTTGATTTCTAGCTATGAAATGTCTTATTACAAATAATTGAATTGACGAGAGTGCAACCTAAACCTGCTTTTTGAGCTAGATGGTAGAATATTGTGATCATATAAGTCTTCAGTCAACCACAGTCTTTCAAAGTTGCAAGTTGTAAATACAGGAAAAATGTTGCCTTCAAGTCGTAGCGTGTTGTTTGGGTTAGAAAACATCATTGGTTTCCTAATTTCAGCATTAAAATGACAACTAATAATCGACTCAGAAAATTATTTATTCTAACTTTTAATTAAAAAATGAGTCAAATATTTCTACAGTATTGATCCTGAATCTTATTCCCGTTTTTCCTAATTGAAAAGTGAGCATTGAACTAATTTTAAAGTTTCTTTTATGTAAAGAATCACGATGTCAGAAACGGATTGTATTGTCTTACCACACTTAATTAACTCACTTTGCAAAATGTTTAAACTTTGCTTAAAGATTTGATCACTCAATTTTTTACACTGAATTTTTTTTTTCCAAAGTGTTTTTTTTTCATTTACTAAACAAACTCTAAGTTTTTGATTCAATGATAAACCTATATATAATCTTTTATTTTAAAAATTAAATTTAAATTTTTAGATAAAAAAATAATAAAGAGTTATCAGACGATTAAATAACAAATAGATACATCATACATGGGAACTGCAAAGAGCATTGCAAGAAAAACTAGTATTCTTACCAAGTCATAAATTGAGAGGACTTAATTTATAGCCAAAAGAGATAAGAAAAACTAGTAGCTTGAAATGACCATCGAGTTAAGGGTCACTGCAATAAGTTGGACCTGCATGGCTCGGTGGAAGTATTCTTACCAAGTCGGTGTTTGAGAAGACTTAATTAATTATAGCCACCAAAAAAGTCTAATATGCCAAGCGGTAAATCTTCTGCAACTGTGCAAGGGCGGTGGAAGCATGTGGAAAAAAGTCCCACGATAATTCTGGTCACCTTATATATATTGAAAAGAGACATCATCTTTCTCACTTATAGTTCAAAAGTTTTCCCTTCACAAGTTCCACTTCCACATAACTTCATGGGAAACACTCGGTTCATTTTGGCTCTTATATTGGTGGTGGTGCTGCCTAATTTCGCGGTTTCATTCTCTATGAAATCAACAACCGACACCAAAACAGATCAGCTGGCTCTTCTTGCAATAAAAGCCCACGTCAACAGTGATCTGCTGGCTACCAACTGGTCTACTGCTCCCTCTATTTGCAATTGGGTTGGTGTTACTTGCGGATCTCGACACCACAGAGTCATGGCTTTGGATCTATTTGGCATGAATCTCTCTGGCACCATAGCACCAGACATGGGAAATCTGCCGTTCCTTGCTTTCCTTGACATTGGAAACAACAGTTTTCATGGTTCGTTGCCTATCGAGTTGGCTAATTTGCGTCGGTTGAAATATTTAATATTGTCCAACAACAATTTCAACGGGAGAATCCCATCCTGGGTTGGTTCTTTCTCTAAACTTCAAAACTTGAGTTTGAATGGTAATAACTTTGTGGGAGTTATTCCATCTTCTTTGTGCTTTTTGCCAAAACTAGAGATCTTGAGCTTGGATAATAACAATCTGCAAGGACACATCCCCGTGGAAATCGGAAATCTCTCTAACTTGAGATTTTTATATTTACACGGTAATCAACTTTCAGGCTCCATACCTTCCTCAGTCTTCAACATATCTTCATTGCTGGAGATTATTCTCAGGAACAACCAGCTAATTGGTTCTATACCTTCCATCTCACTCAACATGTCCTCCCTCCAAGTAATTGATTTTACATTTAATAACCTCACTGGTCATATCTCGTCAAATATGTTTGATGGTTTACCTAAATTAAAAGGGCTCTACTTGAGTTTCAACCACCTTTCTGGTCCTATTTCAATGAGTATATTCAAGTGCCAAGAGTTAGAAGATTTATCCTTATCTCACAATCATTTGGAGGGAACTATACCAAAAGAAATAGGAAATGTGACTATGCTTAAGCGTCTGTATCTTGGACACAACAGCCTCAAAGGTAAGGGAAATATAAATATTGGGATGCATTTTTACCATATTTCTAGTCCGTTCTTTCTCACGATGCCAAAGCCTTTTTCTGTTTCCTCTTTTTGGGCCTGCAACATTTTAGCTTTTTTTTGGGGTCTTTTTGCAATTTGATCATTCTTTTAATTCCTTATTACTTTTTCTATTAAATTCATTGCGATCATTTCTTAATTTATATATATTTTTATCCTTTTTCTTTTAGATGTAAACTATAAGATTTGATGTTCGTCACGACTGGTTTTCCATTACCAATTCTGATAGATTAAGAAACCACACATTAGTGAACGTCGTACATTATTTTACAGTGAAACGAAAAAATGTAAATTTCTTTATTGCAAAATGCTAGTTGCTCTATTTATAGTGCATCAATTAATAATTGTGATCAATAGTTTATATTTTACCTCTTTTTGGGCTTATGATATCATCTGGATTTTCCACATCGAGCTTTTCTATATTTTTCTGGTTTTTGGTAATAGTGTCACACTCTTTTTTTAACCTCATTGTTTTTTATTTAAATTAATTTTTACCATTGATCTTCACCTTTTTTAATTCCTTTTCTTTCATAATCAAGAATTTTATTTCTATTCCGTTCATGAATCATTCAACCAAAAAATCAAATATACTTGAATTTTTTCAACTTTTTCTAATATACTTTCATTATATTAAATATAAGTTGAAATAGAAAATAATAAATTAGCCGCAACGTGCATGATTATATTGCTTTGTATTATCTAAATTCTAAACTTTCTTTGGTAATTTTGATTGTTCCATGTGACAAACAAGTAGGCTTTATAAGTTGTTGCTAAATTTGAAAATAATTAAGAGATCAATTTCATTATGCAGGTGAAATTCCACAACAGATTGGTAATCTAACACTTTTGAAAGTGCTTACTTTTTCCTATAATAAATTGACAGGTAATAAGTTACATTTTTTCTTATGTATGTTTAGTTTCTTTGTATAGCTGTAAATGTTGTAAATACTTAAATAATATTATTTACAAATCCTAATTGTTTAGCTCTTTGTTATATACATCTATATTATAAATTATAAAAATAGGAATGTGTGTAAAACTTTTATGATTAATTTTGTTATTTACTTATGGATCATTGGAACAAATCCAAATGACTCTTCTGATTTTATGGCAGGTAAAATTCCATTTGAGATAGGCAACCTACCAACATTGGAAATTTTGAATTTGGGATCTAACAGCATCTCCGGACATATCCCTCCTCATATCTTTAATAGCTCAACTGTGACAGTCATTGCGCTCGATTTCAATTATCTCTCAGGTTGTCTTCCATGGAGCACAGGACTATGGCTTCCAAAACTTGAATGGCTTCTACTTGGTATAAATATGCTCAATGGAACAATACCTTCTTCCATCTCCAATGCCTCTAAGCTAAAAATGCTTGACTTGTCAGTTAATTCATTTTCTGGATATATTCCCAATAACCTCGGGAATCTAAGAGATCTACAAGTGCTCAACTTACAGGTTAATAATTTAGCTCACTCACCTTCATCCCCAGAATTGAGCTTTCTCTCATCTTTAGCACATTGCAAAGACTTGAGAATGCTGAATTTTAATGATAACCCATTCATCGATGGTGAACTTCCTATCTCGATAGGAAATCTCTCTATTTCTCTAGAAGAATTAGATGCTTCGCATTGCAACATTCGAGGCAACATTCCAAGAGAGATTGGCAACCTAATCAATTTGATCAGCTTGTATATAGCTAACAACGCACTGATTGGAACTATTCCCACCACAATCGAAAGATTAGAAAAGTTGCAAGGTCTCTCTCTTGAAGGCAATACATTAGAAGGTTCCATTCCATTTGAGTTATGTCATCTGAAGAGTTTAGGTTACTTGTATCTTACAGGTAACAAATTGTCTGGATCAATACCAAAATGCTTGGGTGATCTCGTTTCTCTTAGGCATCTATATTTGGGCTCCAATGAGTTTGCAAACTCAATACCCTCAACCTTCACAAGGCTTATAGATATCTTGCAACTAAATTTGTCTTCCAATTTTCTTAGCGGGGCTCTCCCAATTGATATTGGAAAGTTGAAGGTTGTTACTAGTATTGATTTTTCCAAAAATCAATTATCAAGTGAAATTCCGAGTAGCATTGGTGATCTGAAAGACCTAACTTATCTTTCATTATCCGATAACAGATTGTATGGGTCCATACTAGAGTTATTTGGTGGGCTAATAGGATTGGAATTCTTGGATCTATCAAGGAATAATTTCTCTGGAATTATTCCAAAGTCCTTGCAAAAACTCTTGCATCTCAAGTATTTGAATGTCTCATACAATAGACTACATGGAGAAATTCCTAACGGAGGACCCTTTGCCAACTACTCAATTCAATCATTTATGGGGAATGAAGCACTGTGTGGTGCACCTCAATTGCAACTCCCACCGTGCACAAGCAATTATGCTAAACATTCAAGGAAAGCTACTAAGCTTATAGAATTTATTCTATTGCCAGTTGACTCAACACTATTAATTCTAGCCTTAATTGTCTTTTTCTTCCAAAGCCGAAGAAAGCATTCAAAGGAAAAAATTAGTCGAGAAGATTCTATTGGTTTAGCAAATTGGAGAAGAATTTCATACCAAGAGATTCATCAAGCCACAAATGGTTTTTGTGAAAGCAAATTACTTGGTGCGGGGAGTTTTGGCTCGGTATACCAAGGTACTTTTTCAGATGGACTGAACATAGCCATAAAAGTCTTTAATTTGGAGGTAGAAGGATCATTTAAGAGCTTTGATGTTGAATGTGACATCTTGCGCAACATTCGCCATCGCAATTTAGTCAAAATCATCAGTAGTTGTTGCAATGTTGATTTTAAAGCCTTGGTCCTTGAGTTCATGCCTAATGGAAGCCTCGAGAAGTGGTTGTATTCTCACAACTACTTTCTTGATATCTTGCATAGGTTGAACATTATGATTGACGTGGCATCTGCATTAGAATACCTCCATCATGGTCAGACAATTCCTGTGGCCCATTGTGATTTAAAACCCAACAATGTTCTATTAGATGAAGATATGATTGCACATTTGGGTGATTTTGGCATTGCAAAGCTGTTTGGTGAAGAGGATTCAAAGGTCCAAACCATAACACTAGCAACAATTGGGTATATGGCACCAGGTAATGCTTAAACTTAAAGACTTTTTTTTATCCATTATGATAATTCATGCAAAATCATTGCATACTTTGATGATGGTTTTAATCACTTACATGTAGAATACGGAACACAAGGAGTTGTTTCCATAAAAAGCGACGTGTATAGTTTTGGTATTCTTCTAATTGAAACCTTAACAAGGAAAAAGCCCACAGATGAAATGTTTGTTGGAGAAATGAGCTTAAAACATTGGGTGATTAAGTAGTTGCCATCTGCATTAACTCAAGTTATAGATGCCAATTTGCTAATTAGTACCAAGGAGCGAGAACATTTTGCAATAAAGGATTGTGCATTGTCTATTTTGCAATTAGCGTTAGAATGTTCAGAAGAGTTGCCAGAAGAGAGGATTGACATGAAAAACGTTGTTGCTAAGCTGAAGAAGATCAAAATCAAGTTTTTGAAGGATTCGAATAGTCGGGCTTGATGAAAATACCATCATGTTGATGACATTTCCATTGGACTCCTTTGAATCCCAAATCGAGAAAATGAAGTTTGAGTGCATGTTCAACGTATCAATGTCAAAATGCTTTAACCCAGTAATTGGTTGTTTCCTTTTGCTTTATTTTGGAGGCGAGTACCTGTCTTGATTTCCTTTTCTTCACAAGCCGATTGCTTTATGATGTTATTTTTATGTTATGCTATGATAACCTAGTCCAAATAAATTTATTGTTGTACAATATAGATCTAATTTTATGGGAGGATAACTTTTGGTTTATTTAAAAATTTATTTTATATTATAATATATAAAAAAAATTATTTGATGTAATTATAATTTTTATTTGTAAATATAATCTCATAAAAAACACTTATAGAGATATAAGATTTGGTTTATATTGCTTATATTGCTTAACTTAACTTTACAAATACAACTTAACTTTTATAGGTGTCCAAAAATTAGGTTTTTTTTTTTAATTATGTGTTTCATTGACTTGTAATAGCTCAAGTTTTCAGTGAATTCTACACTAAGGACACAATTAGGTTTTACTTGTTACATTGTTAACCAATTATAATTTTTTAATATGATTTATCCATGTAATATTGGTGATGCATAGTCTTAAAACAACCAATATGAATAAATAAATATTAGAGATTACTTTCGATTTGTCTTTGTAAGTGCATTATGTTGTTGGACATGGACTGGGATGATCTGGGTGAGATGATGCGTCTGGGCGTGTACAAAAAGGGTACATCAGAGGTTTTCTTGTGATTCCTTTTCTGATGCTCTATGGGAGTAAAAACTCATCAAAGGAGGACGAGAAGGAAAGAATAGAGAGGGAGGATATGAGAGAGAAAGGAGAGATAGTATTATGGTTGGTATCCTTCCCTGACAGCTGACAATTGTTGGGGAATATATAGCCTATCCTTTTTGGGACAGATGGAGTATCTATTGTTGAAGTCACATAAGAACCTTCTGATGGGACTCCGTATGTCTTTGACCCTTAGCCTGCTCACAACACATTACATAACATACAGGTAGGCGATGGTAAGTCATGAAATTGGGATTAAATTGTGAGAATTTGATTGTAGTTGCCTAGTCCAGGATAAATTAAGGTGATGATTTGATTAATCGAGTAAGGGTTGATGTGATTTGAGTTCTCTCGAAGTTCTTTCGAAATTTTTTAAAATTTTAAATAATTACAAACCGTGGGAATTGAAACATAGAAAAATAAGACAAATAAATTCACAATAACTTGGTAACTGTTCATCTTCGCAATTCCACCTTGAAGTAAGCTTCAGTTTCTGCTACAGAAACTTCAGATATGTAAGAAAGATAATTAGGAAATTCATGTTTTGTCCGCTCAGGTTAAAGAGGTTCTTGAA